ACTTGAGCCCGGGAAGCTGAGACTGCAGTGGGCTGCACTCCAGCCTCGGGGACAGAACTTAAAACAAAGAATTGAAGTTCTCCATAGGACGCCACAGCACTGTAGTGATAAAGATACCCACTTAAACCATGACTTACTAACCAGTGACTGCTGATATGGAATGGAAGACAGAAAGATGACCACTCAGGCAGGGCGCGGGGGCTCACGCCTGTAATCCCAGCACCTTGGGAGGCTGAGGCGGGCAGATCATGAGGTCAAGAGATCGAGACCATCCTGGCCAACATGGTGACACCCCGTCTCCACTGAAATAGAAAAATTAGCTGGGTGTGGTGGCGTGCACCTGCAGTTCCAGCTACTCGGGAGGCTGAGGCAGAAGAATTGCTTGAACTCGGGAGGCGGAGGTTGCGGTGAGCTGAGATCGCGCCACTGCACTCCAGCCTGGGGACAGCCTGTGACTGTCTCAAAAAAAAAAAAAAAGGTACCCACTTGAACCGTGACGTAATAACCCATGACTGCTGATATGGAATGGGAGACAGAGATACCCACCTAAATCATGACTTACTAACTCATGACTGCTGACATGGAAAAGGAAGTAACTGTCTCCACTTGTAGCAAAGGTTTTTCTTCTTTAGGGCTTTTTCTTTTCTTTTCTTTTTTCTTTTTCTTTTTTTTTTTTTTGACAGAGTTTCAATCTTGTTGCCTAGGCTGGAGTGCAGTGACTCGATCTTGGCTCACTGCAACCTCCGTACCCTGGTAGAGGCAGGGGTTTCGCCATTTCGGTCAGCCTGGTCTCAAACTTCTGACCTCGAGTGGTCTGCCTGCCTTGGCCTCCCTCCCAAAGTGCTGGGATTACGGGCATGAGCCACCATGCCCTGCTTGCTTAGGGCTTAAAAATTTTTTTTAATGTAATTTTTTTTTTTTTTTTTTTTGAGACAGAGTCTTGCTCTGTTGCCCAGGCTGGAATGCAGTGGCTTGATCTCGGCTCACTGCAACCTCCACCCCTGGGTTCAAGCGATTCTCCTGCTTCAGCCTCCCAAGTAGCTGGGATTATAGGCATGCTCCATCATGCCCGGCTAATTTTTGTATTTTTAGTAGAGACAAGGTTTCTCCACACTGGCCAGGCTGGTCTCAAACCCCTCATCTCAGGTGATCCGCCCATCTCAGCCTCCCAAAGTGCTAGGATTACAGGCGTGAGTCACCGCACCCGGCCGGCTCATTTTGCTTTTAAATGTGGGTGATGCACCTGCCCTGTTTTCTCTGCTGTTTTCTTTTCTTCTTCTTTTTTTTTTTTAAGATGGGGTTTCACCATGATGGCCAGGCTGGTCTTGAACTCCTGACCTCAGGGGATCCGCCCATCTCAGCCTCCCAAAGTGCTAGGATTACAGGTGTGAGCCACCGCGCCCGGCCTTTCTCTGCTGTTTTCAGTCCTGTCTCCCACACTGCCTTCCTCTGGGATCCCTGGGGCCTCTCCAGATTCCCCCCCACTGATCTCTCCTCCCAGGACCGGCCATGCCCAGGCCCATCCCATGGCCCTCCACCTGCCTCAGCATGCCTGCAGCCGCCTCCACTCCTGCCACGGGCCCTGGTGTCTGTTTCCGTTGTGTCCCCTCCCATCCACAAATGCCGGCTTTGCTTCATCCCTCGTTCCAGAAACAGCAGGAGCTGGCTCTGTCTACACAGACAAAGCCACGCACACAGGCACACGTCCGGGAGGGGACTCGGGGACGCCGCCCTGTGTCAGTTATTCTCTCCAGGAAAGTGAGTTTAGGAAACGGATGGGGAAAAACTAGGCAGCCCCATCACTTCCCAGAAACAGATGGGGCCCAGGGACAGGAGGTGGCGGCCCCTGGGACCTGACTTTGATTTGTTAAGGTTGCAATTTTGTCACAAAGAAATGACATCCAGAAGGCCGGGCGCGGTGGCTCAAGCCTGTAATCCCAGCACTTTGGGAGGCCGAGGCGGGTGGATCACGAGGTTAAGAGATCGAGACCATCCTGGTCAACAAGGTGAAACCCCGTCTCTACTAAAAAGACGAAACATTAGCTGGGCATGGTGGCGCGTGCCTGTAATCCCAGCTACTCGGGAGGCTGAGGCAGGAGAATTGCCTGAACCCAGGAGGCGGAAGTTGCGGTGAGCCGAGATCGCGCCATTGCACTCCAGCCTGGGTAACAAGAGTGAAACTCCGTCTCAAAAAAAAAAAAAAAAAAAAGAAATGACATCCAGACTGGGCGCGGTGGCTCACACCTGTAATCCTGGCACTTTGGGAAGCTGAGGTGGGCGGATCACCTGAGGTCAGGAGTTTGAGACCAGCCTGACCAACATGGTGAAACCCCGTCTCTACTAAAAAATAAAAAAATTAGCCGGGCGTGGGTGGTGCATGCATCTGTAGTCCCAGCTACTCGGGAGGCTGAGGCAGGAGAATTGCTTGAACCCAGGAGGTTGCAGTGAGCCGAGATTGTGCCACTGTACTGCAGCCTGGTGACAGAGTGAGACTGTCTGAAAAAAAAAAAATGCAAACATTAGCCAGACGTGGTGGCACGCACCTGTAGTCTCGGCTACTCGGGAGGCTGAGGCAGGAGAATTGCTTGAACCCAGGAGGCGGAGGTTGCGGTGAGCCGAGATCGCGCCATTGCACTCCAGCCTGGGTAACAAGCGAAACTCCGTCTCAAAAAAAAGAAAGAAAGAAAAAAAGAAAAAAGAAGTAGCATCTGCATTTGACTTTCAGAAATGATAGAATGTATTTCCAAAAAGGGCTGTGAGAGGGCCCCCGGGGGAGCCTCAGACCTGCTGGGTGGCCCCAGGCCTCATGATGTTCCCCTTTGAGTGGCGCCACGCCCGGCCTGCAGGTGGGTGGCCCCAGGACGCACTGAGCTTGGCAGGAGACTGTCCCCATCTCGACCCCTCTCTCACTCCCTGCAGCAGTGACCTCAGCGAAGGGCCAGCCCAGGGACGCTGCTCCCTGCTGCGTGGGAGGAGCGGCGTGGGCTTGGGAAGGCGCCGGGAGTACCGTTTCTTCATTTCATTGCCTTTTTTTTTTTTTTTTTTTTTTTTTTCCCTGATTGCAGAGGAAATCTGCTTAGGAATTAAACACGAGGCCTGTAAATATCTCAGTTCCTATTTCAAAACAAGGGTCTCTCCTTGGGGGCACTATGGACATTGGGGCCAAGCCATTCTCTTGGCTGGGGCCATCCCGGGCATTGCAAGGGTGCTGAGCAGTGTCCCTGGCCTCCACCCACTCCATGCCAGGGGCTCTCCCAGTCATGAGGACCCCAGATGTCCCCAGACATCGCCCAGTGTCCCGTGGGAACAGAATCACCCTCCCCCACCCCCCCACCATTGGGAACCACCACTATTCTAGAGGCTAAGGGATCCAGGAGCGGTGGCTCATACCTGTAATCTCAGCACGTTGGGAGGCCAAGGCCGGTGGATTCCTTGAGGTCAGGAGTTTGAGACTAGCCCGACCAACATAGTGAAACCCCGTCTCTTATATTTTGTAAAAATACAAAAAATTAGTCGGGTTTGGTGTCAGGTACCTGTAATCCCAACTACTCAGGGGCTGGGGGGGGGCGCTGAGGCAGGAGAATTGCTTGAACCCGGGAGGCAGAGGTTGCAGTGAGCCGAGACCGTTCCACTGTACTCCAGCCTGGGCAACAGTGAGAGTCCGTGTCAAAAATAAATAAAAAATAAAAACGAAGGGCATTTTGAAACAAAATTACAATGCTTCATGCTTTTAAAAATTTACAGTAATTCTTTAATGTCAGTGATGCCTCCCCGCCCCCTTTTTTTTTTTTTTTTTTTTTTTTGAGACAGAGTCTCGCTCTGTCACCCAGGCTAGAGTGCAGTGGCACAATCTCGGCTGTCTGCGACCTCTGCCTCCCGGGTCCAAGCAATTCTCCTGCATCAGCCTCCGGAGTAGCTGGGACTATAGGTGCCCACCACCACACCCAGCTCTTTTTTTGTCTTTTTTTTCGGTATTTTTAGTAGAGACGGAGTTTCATCATGTTGGCCAGGATGGTCTTGATCTCCTGACTTTGTGATCCACCCACCTCGGTTTCCCAAAGTGCTGGGATTACAGACGTGAGCCACCGCGCCCGGCCTTGCATGGCGTTTTTGCCTAACATCCGATGCTGGATCCGCCCACAGAGGTCAGGGCGGTGGGTACACCATCTACCCGGAGCAGCACAGGTGACACCTGTGCCATATGTGCCCCACAGCGTGGCCAGCCACCTTTCCAGCCTGTGTCAACTTCTTTCCCGTCCACCCGTTAAGCAAGTGTCCTGCACGTTAGATTTGGAGTTATGGCAGAACCCCACTTGGGGCACTAATTTTGCTGTTGTTGAGAATAGGGGCTCTGTTCGTCTCCCAGGCTGGAGCTCAGTGATGCAGTCACAGCTCACGGTAGCCTCAACCTCCCATGCTCCAGCCATCCTCCCACCTACGTCTCCCAGGTAGCTGGGACAACAGGCACCCACCACCACACCCAGCCAATTTCTTGTAGAGATGGGGATCTCACATGTTGCTGGGCTCAAACTCCCAGGCCCAAGCGATCCTCCTGCCTCAGCCTCCCAACGTGCTGGGATTCCAGGCATGAGCCACGACACCCGGCCCTCTGGTACTAACGTCTGCACTGCTGAAAATGTAGTCCCTCTCTGCCGCTAAAACTACAGGGGGCTGGGCGTGGTGGCTCACGCCTGTAGTCCCAGCACTTTGGGAGGCTGAGGTGGGTGGATCACCTGAGGTCGGGAGTTCGAGACCAGCCTGACCAACATGGAGAAACCCTGTATCTACTAAAAATACAAAATTAGCCTGGTGTGGTGGCGCGTGCCTGTAATCCCAGCTACTCAGGAGGCTGAGACAGGAGAATCGCTTGAACCTGGGAGGCAGGAGGTTGCAGTGAGCCGAGATCAGATCGTGCCATTGCACTCCAGACTGGGCAACAAGAGTGAAACTGCGTCTCAGAAAAAAAAAAAAAAAAAAAAAAAAAGAGCAACAGGGAGGATTTTGGTCCCCTGGGGTTTCAATGTTCCTTTGCCAAAGCGCCTCAGATGCTTTCTCCCAGAGGCAGACCATGGCCTGCAGCGTTTCAAGTCATCTTTAATGCAAAAGAGAGAACCCAGCAAAGTCTGGGTTGAACAGTCATGCCACAAGGCAAGGACCCCCCTCCCGTGTGCCCCCCAGCTCCCCCCCAGGACAGCCCCTCTGAGGGAAGCCACAGAAATGGAACTGGAGCCTGGGTCCCTGGCACCACCATGCAGGGGTCACACTCTGAGCCTCAGGGTACTAGATACTCTGCAGCATGCGGAGGGCGTGGTGAAGGCGCTGTCGGGTGGCGGGGACGCAGCCGTGGTTCCGAAGGACGTCCAGGGAGGAGGAGGTGCCGGGGGGGCCCCGCTCCCAGAGGGTGAGCTGCAAACCCTCACCCTCGCCACTCAGCAACAGTTGGGCTGGGACTCCATCGAAGCTCATCTGCAAAGGGCAGGATGCCAGTCAAGGAGAGAAGGGTCCCCCTGCACCTGCCCCCAGCCCTGGCGCTCCAGGAGGACAGGTGGACACTAGACCTGGAGCCCCCAACCTGGGCCTGAGTGCACCACTGTACAGCTGGGGAAACTGAGGCTCCCCTGCCCACAGTTTTCCAGCAAGACCCCTCTTTTTTTTTTTTTTTTCTTTTTTGAGACAGAGTCTCGCTCTGTCACCCAGGCTGGAGTGCAATGGTACGGTCCTGACTTGCTGCAATCTCTGCCTCCCAGGTTCAAGCAATTCTCTTGCCTCAGCCTCCACAGTAGCTGGGATTACGGACACCCACCACCACACCTGGCTAATGTTTCGTATTTTTAGTAGAGATGGAATTTCACCATATTGATCAGGCTGGTCTCAAACTCCTGACCTCAGTGATCCACCTGCCTCTGCGTCTCACAAGTGCTGGGATTATAGGCATGAGCCAGGCACCTGGCCTAATTTTTGTATTTTTAGTAGAGATGGGGTTTCCCCACGCTGGCCAGGCTGGTCTCAAACTCCTGACCTCAGGTGATTCACCTGCCTCAGCCTCCCAAAATGCTGGAATTACAAGTGTGGGTCACCATGTCTGTCCAGACCCCTGACTCTTAATCCCATGACCTTGGGAATATAACCCCTTCCAAGAATGGTCACTTGGAGACAGTCTTTTTTTTTTAAATAAGCCAGGGTTTCAGCATGTTGGCCAGGATGGTCTAGACTTTCTGACCTCATGCTCTGCCCACCTCAGCCTCCCAAAGTGTTGGGATTACAGGCGTGAGCCCCTGCGCTGGCTTTTTGTTTTTTGGTTTTTTGTTTAAGAGACGGGGTCTTAAAAAACAAAAAGAGAGAGAGAGACAGGGTCTGATTCTGTGGCCCAGGCCGGAGTGCCAAAGTGCAGTCATAGCTCACTGTAGCCTTGAACTTCCAGGCTCAAAGGATCCTCCTCCCTCAGCCTCCCAAAGCGCTGGGAGGCCAGGTGTGCACCAGGGCCCCTGGCCCAAAAATGTCATGTGTTTTCCATCCTGTGGTTTTTGTACTTAGGAACCAATCTTTTTTTTTCTCCCCAGGAGGCAGATTCCTCCTAGGGCTCCCCTAAAACTTGCTCCATCAGAGCCCAAGTGCGCCAGGCGCCCACCCTGGTGGTCCCTGAGTTGGAGACCCGGGCTCACCTGCACCGTCCCATTGCTAAGCAGCAACAGCAATGCCTGCTCAGAGGCCAGGAAGTGCAGGAGGCAGAGGCCGGGGCCAGCAGGCGGTATGGGGCTGGGGAGGGGCCCCTCCTGTGGACGGACTCGGCTGAGGTCACAGGCAGCAGGGGTGTCCCCACTCCCAGCCCCCCTGGCCCCCCAGGCTCTTCACCTCCCGCAGCCGCCGCTGCAGGCACCTGGTGAAGAGCTGCGGAATGCCCAGCAGCCCCGGCACGTCCCCCAGGGTGAAGGTTTCCAGCCTCCCTCGGGCCGGCAGTGTAGCACACTTGGCTGGGGCCAGGACGCAGGGCGTCACCCTGGGCATCCCAGGCCATTGGACACCGTCTATCTCAATACACCCCCTGGAACGGCAGCTTGAAGGTCCAGCTCTGCCCTGGCCACACCTTATCTGTACGCTCGGTGCGTGCCAATAAGGCACCATGTGCCCTCTGTCGTCCCCACTGTGGCTGTCAGCTGGTCCATCCTTCCGACCTGAACTCCATCCACATCTGGCCCTGCGCGGCCCAGGCCTCCGCCACAGCCCCTCCCCGCTGGCCCCCCTGTCACTCCCACTACAAAGACTGTGAAGGCTGGGTGAGGTGGCTCACACCTGTAATCCCAGCCCTTTGGAAGGCCAGGGTGAACAGATCACCTGAGGTCAGGAGTTCAAGACCAGCCTGGCCACCATGGCGAAATCCCTTCTGTACTAAAAATACAAAAATTTCCAGCCTGACCAACATGGTGAAACCCTATCTCTACTAAAAATACAAAAATTAGCCAGGTGTGGAGGTGCGCGCCCTGTAATCCCAGCTGCTTGGGAGGCTGAGGCAGGAGAATTACTTGAACCCGGGATGCAGGGGCTGCAGTGAGCAGAGATCGGCTGCACTCTAGCCTGGGCGACAAGAGCGAAACTGTCTCAAAAACAACAGAGACAGGGTCGCCTGGCACTCTCAGGAGCCAGGGTGGGCAGATCACCTGAGGTCTGGAGTTCAAGACCAGCCTGACCAACATGAAGAAACTCCATCTCTACTAAACATACAAAGTTATTTGGGGGTGGTGGCGCATGCCTGTAATCCCAGCTACTCAAGAGGCTGAGGCAGAACAATCACTTGAATCCAGGAGGTGGAGGTTGCAGTGAGCCAAGATCACACCATTGCACTCCAGGCCTGGGCAACAAGAGTGAAACTCCAGTCTCAAAAAAAAAAGGGGGGAGAGAGAGAGAGAGAGAGGAGAGAGAAAGAGAGAGAGAGACAGGGTCTCGTTCTGCCACGCAGGCTGGAGTGCAGTGGTGCAATCATAGCTCACTGCAGCCTCAACTTCCTGGGCTCAGACGATTCTCCCACCTCAGCTACCCAAGTAGCTGAGACTACTGATGCATGCCCTTGCAGCTGCCTAACTTAAAAAAATGTTTTTGTAGAGATGGGGTCTTGCTCTGTGGGCCAGCTGATCTCCTTTTTATTCTTTTCTTTTCTTTTTTTAAAGATGGGGTTTCACCATGATGGCCAGGCTGGTCTTGAACTCCTGATCTGAGATGATCCACCCACCTTGGCCTCTCAAAATGCTGGGATTACAGGTGTGAGCCGCCGTGCTCTGCCGGGCCAGCTGATGTCAAACTCCTGGCTCAAGTGATCCTCGAACCCCAGTCTCTCACACTGCCAAGATTACAGGCGTGGACCACCATGCCCAGATAATCTTTAAAATTTTTAGGCCGGGCGTGGTGGCTCACACCTGTAATCCCAGAACTTTGGAAAGCTGAGGCGGTCAGATCATGAGGTCAGGAGATTGATACCAGCCTGGCCAACGTGGTGAAACCGTCTCTACTAAAAATACCAAAAATTATCTGGGCGCCTCTAGTCCCAGCTACTCAGGAGGCTGAGGCAGGGGAGTTGACTGAACACAGGAGGCGGAGGCTTCTCTACAAAAAAATTTCTTTGTAGAGATGGGGTCTTGCTATGTTGTCCAGGCTGATCTCGATCAATAAATGCGATGGACTGAAGCCATGGATGAGGCCCTTCCCGTGGCAGGACCGGGCGGGGGCTTGGGGGCCTTCAGTGGTGGATTCTAGCAGATGAGACATCAACAGAAGCCGAGGAATAGTAACTAATTTCTGGCTTGCAGAGGGAGACTCTGGGATCCCAGCGCACCCCTGGGAATGAGCAATTCTCAAATGCTTGCAATGCTCTGAAATTACTACACGTTTCTGGGTTTTTTTGTTTTTGAGACAGAATCTCACTCTGTCGCCCAGGCTGGAGTGCAGTGGTATGATCTCGGCTCACTGCAACCTCCACCTCCCGGGTTCAAGCGATTCTCCTGCCTCAGCCTCCCAAGTGGCTGGGACTACAAGCTCCCACCACCACGCCTGGCTAATTTTTGTATTTTTAGTAAAGACAGGGTTTGCCACATGTCCTGATGGAGACCATCCTGGCTAACACAGTGAAACCCCGTTTCTACTAAAAATACAAAAAATTAGCTGGGGTGGTGGGGTGCACCTGTAGTCCCAGCTACTCAGGAGGCTGAGGCAGGGGAATCCCTTGAACCCAGGAGGAGGAGGGTGCAGTGAGCCGAGATCCCGCCACAGCAGTCCAGCTTGGGCGACAGGAGGAGACTCCATCTCAAAAACAAGCAAAGAAAAAAACAAAAAGGCTCCTGAGCTGGAGACCTGGCGTGGGGTTTGGGGCTCCCTCTCCCAGGGTGGCAGCGCATGTGGGTCAGTGGAGGCTCAGGGAGAGGAGGGGCGAGGAAGAGGGCTTGGGTTCTGGGACAGTGGGGATAAGGGGGATCCCGCCTTGGAGGGTGGCCGTGAGCACAGGGCTCCGTGCGATGTCCCAGGTCGCGTCTCACTCACTGGGTCTCTCTGGGCTTTCTCTTTGGGTTTCTAACAAGACCGCGTCATGAATTTAAAAGACCCCGGGCCCTGAAAGGATAAGGCTGCCCCTAGAACCCTCTGTGCCAGGCTCTGCACACAGGAGGGCTAACCCCTTGCCTGATGTTACCACACCCTGGGGCCTCCCTCACCCCCACAAATACCCAGGAGGGCCGTGGATGGGAATGAAGGCAAGTTTCCTTGGCTCCTAAGAGAAAGGATGGCCCTGGGGGCTGGGCCGGGCTCCTACCCAGAGGGCCTGTGTCCACACACAGCTGCAGGTGTCTGAGGGCCGCCTCCACCTCCGGGTGCCGGCTCCCCTCGGGCCCTGGGAGGACAGGTGTCTGTGGCGCAGACAGGGCTGGGTTCTCACCACCAGGGCTCCTCCAACCAGCCCCACTGCCGCGGCTGCCCGCAGGACCAGCTCGTCCTCAACCCTGAGGCGCATTCCCACGGGACGGGGGGACCCTGGCAAGCTTCAGGCTTGTGATTCCTCACTCCCCACCTGCGGCCCCGGGCTGGAACGGGATCTGCTCACCGGCCAGGTCACTCTGCAGGGTCCCTTGTGCAATCAGGTGGACGGGGGCCTCCAGGCAGGGAACCCCTTTCGCAGTCAGGGAGCTCTGAGGCGAAGTGGCGGGGGTGAAGGGTGGCCCCAGCCCCTGGGAGAGGCATGAGGTGGGTGGGGGGCTCAGCCCCTGCCTGCACCTGCTGTGGTCTGCACATAGAGGCACTGCTTTCCCCCTGGGATGCAGCCTCGGTGTGTCTTGGAGGCATACAGGAGGCGCTCAATAAATGCCATGGACTGAAGCCATGGATGGGACCCTTCCCGTGGCCTGGCACCTGGCCCTTGGGAAACGCCAGGTCAGTGGGCACAGTTGGACACAGGGATCCCAGGTTCAATGGGTCAGGATGGGACAGGGGAGGGGGCTTGTAGTCCCCAGAAGGGGTTGAAGCTCTGCCCAGCGGTCAGAGAAGAGGGCCTGGAAAAGGGGGTTCAGCAGGGGCTAAGCCTCCCTCCCCGTCCCTCCCGTGTCTCACCTTGCCGCCCCACTCCATGGAGTCAGGGTTGGGCCCATCTTCTCCTGGACCCGAGGCCTCTTTAGGCGTGAAGGGGCCTGAGGGAGGCACAGGCCTTGGCGGGGGGAGCCTGGGCCCCGAGCAGGAGGGAGGCGCCTGCTACCCACACCCACCCCTGATGTAGAGACAGCAGAACAGGTAGCAGGTGTGGGCAAGTAGGTGTGTGCAGGTGGCAGGTGTGTACAGGTGTGTGTGGGTATGTGCAGGTGGCAGGTGTGTGCAGGTGGCAGGTGTGTGCGGGTGTGTGCAGGTGGCAGGTGTGTGCAGGTGGCAGGTGTGTGCGGGTGTGTGCAGGTGGCAGGTGTGTGCAGGTAGGTGTGTACAGGTGGCAGGTGTGTACAGGTAGCAGGTGTGTGCAGGTGGCAGGTGTGTACAGGTAGCAGGTGTATGCAGGTGGGCTGGCGTAGGCAGGCATGAGCAGGGTGGCACTTACAGGGTGGCCGGCACTGGGTGAGCAGCAGCTGGCCCACCTTCCGGAAGATCCTGCCCAGAGGCGGGGGTGCAGTGAAGATGGGGGGACTGTGGCAGGAGTGGGCTGGCAGCCGGTCTGGAGTGAAACCCTTTGGATGGGGGATTTGGGGTCACCCCCAGCTTAGGTCGCCCAGCCCCTGAGGAGCTGGGTTGCCTGCGGGGAAGCCTGGCCTCGCCTCAGCAGGGCAGGCTCTGGCACACCCCACGCCGGGAACCGCCGCCCACCTGCGTGAAGAAGTCGTCCCGTAGCAGGTGCTCCAGGCTGGGCCGCTCGGCCGGGTTGGGTGCCAGGAGGCGGGCGATGAGGCGGCGTGCACTGGGGGACAGGTGAGCAGGTTCGGGGTAGCGGCCCTCGCGGATGTTTTGGTACATCTCCGACAGGGGTGAGGCCGTGAAGGGCGGGGTGCCAGTCAGCACCGTGTACCTGGGCCAGGCGGGGACAAGAACCTGGCGTCCAGCATCGCTCACAGCTACCCCTGCTCCACAGGCCAGACAGGACACACAGGCCGCCTGTTCACACCGAATCCGCTTCCCCACCCCCAGCCTGGCTGTTCACACTCATCTGCTTTCCCATCCCCCAGCCTACCTGTTCACACCATATCTGCTTCCCCGTCTCCCAACATCCACCTGCACCTGGCACCCTGTGCATGTGGTGGACCCTGCTTGGTGGACACCTGCGTCTGTCTGTCCCCTGCCTCCACCTGGCTCGCTCTGTACTCAGCTGCATACACCTTTCCAGTTCTTCTCATTTTTTTCTTTAAAGACAGGGTGGTGGTCTGTCACCCAGGCTGGAGTGCAGTAGTGTGATCACAGCTTGCTGCAGCCTCTGCCTCCTGAGCTCGAGTGATCCTCCTGAGTAGCTGGGACTACAGGTGCACAACCACCACTCCTGGCTAATTTTTGTAGAGACAGGGTCTCGTCAACTTGGCCCAGCTGGTCTTGAACTCCTGGGCTCAAGCTATCCTCCTGCCTCAGCCTCCCAAAGCTCTAGGATTACAGGTGTGAGTCACCGCGCCCAGCCTCCACCTTCCGATGCCATCACGTGCCTGCTCCCACCTGCTCTGCTCCCACACACGCCCCATCCCTGTGTCCACACGCCCTGACCTGCCTGTGCACGGCCACCTGTCCACACCTGTCCCCGTCCTCCCTCACACACGCATCCCCACACGTCCTGTTCATTCTGCACACTTGGTGGAGACGCGTGCCTGTTCCGCCCACCCCACTCCGTGCACCTGTCCCCATCTGTTCCGTGCGGGCTCCCACCTGCCGAACCTGCCCACCTGGAGGCCCTGCCCGCCTTTGCCAGGACCCCACTCACATGACGCAGCCCAGAGCCCAGATGTCCGACTGGCAGGAGTGCCCGTTTCTGGAGACAACCTCTGGGGCCAGGAAATTAGGGGTCCCACAGAGCACTCTAGGAGGGACATCATGGGGGTGCTCAGGAAGGCCGGGATCCCGTGCCAGACTTCAGGGCCAGCCGTGCACACCCGGACGGACTGCTCAGAGACCCCTGCTCTCACCTGTGGCAGCGGCCCTCTGGCCCCACCTTGGCAGCCAGCCCCAGGTCTCCGATCTTCACCTCCATGTTCTTGTTAAGGAAGAAGTTACCTGCCAGGGGGAGGGGCAGCGTGCATGGGGGCGGATCTGTGCCCACCTCCTGACGCCCCTGCCCACAGGCCCCCTTCCGGGCACTCACTGAGCTTCAGGTCTCGGTGCACGATGCGTCGCTGGTGCAGGTAGCGCAGGCCGCTGACCAGCCCCCGCAGGTAGTAACGCACTTCCGGCTCCGTCAGCGTCTGCCGCGCCCTCAGCACGTGAGCCAAAGACTGCAGGTGGCAGTCCCGGTGCCCAGTGGCCCCGGGTTAGAAGGCAAAGGTAAGCTCAACCTGGCCGAGGTGGCATGGCTGATTATGGCATGAGCACAGGTGAGTTCAGATGAACCCCAGTAGGAGCCCAGGTGGCCACTGAGGGAGGCACACACCTTTCCCCATGGGCACAGCCGCCTGGCTCTGGTCCCGCGTGTGGCACCACCTTGAGGGTGAACATGGCACTGGTCGACGTGCCGGTGAGTTTGGGAAGGGCCACACGATCAGCAGGGAAAACAGGGGGCACATTCTGGCCCAGGTGGGCCCAGGTGCGCTCAGGTATAATGAAGTGGGCACAGTGAGTTCAAGGCGGTGTATGAAGGCATGACTTGTTTCAGCCAGGCCAAGGGGGGTACGGCTGAGTGCAGGAGGGGCACAGGTGACCACAGGTAGGCACAGGGGCATGCTGGGGCATACAAGTGGGCATGGGTGAGTCCAAGGGGGGCAAGAAGAAGCAAATACATTCTGATGGGCCCAGGCAGTCACAGGTGAGTAAAGGATGGGCACAAATAGCCCTACATGGGCATGGGAAGCGCTGGTGACTGGGCACCAGCAGAGGGCACATGGGATGGTACAGAGGGTAGCAGTGAGGTGCAGATGGACACGGGGTGGACACAGACAGGCGCAGCTGACATGAATGCCACCCTCTCCCCGCCCCTGGGCACCTGGCGGCTGCAGTACTCCAGCACCATGTACACGTGGTCGTGGTCAGCGAAGTGTCCGTGGAAAGCCACGATGTTGCGGTGTCGCAGACGGCTGTGCAGGGCAATCTCACGCTCCACCTGCAGGCACGGCCCCGACATGGACCCGCTGCAGGGGGTCACCGGCTGCAGGAGGCTCCCTTGCCGCGTGTACCCGCACCCAGGTCTGGGACAAAAGGGCAGGGCCTTTGTTGGGACACGCTGCGGGGTGTGGGCCTGGCTCCGATGGGGACACGCACCTTTCCCCGTGGACGAAGCCACCCAGCCCCAGCCCCGCCACGCGGGACCACCTTGAGGGCGAACACGGCGCTGGTGGACATGTCGGTCAGCTTGTAGCAGCGGCTGAAGGCGCCCTGTGGGGAGGGTCAGCCAGATCAGCAGGCAGGGGTGCACACGTCTGTGCAAGCTGGCAGCGCGTATGGAGGCACAGGCAGCCGGGGACGCAGCTGTAGCCAGGTCTTTTCTCACACACGCACAGGCACACAGACACACAGACACACACACACAGACACACACACAGACATACACAGACACACAGACACACAGACATAGACACACAGACATACACACAGACATACAGACACACAGACACACACATACACACAGACACAGACATACAGACACACACACAGACATACACGGACACAAACACAGACACACATACACAGACACAGACATACACAGACATACACAGACACACAGACACACACACAGACACACACAGACACACAGACATAGACACACACACACACAGACACACAGACATACACAGACACACACAGACACACAAACAGACATACACAGACACACAGACATACACAGACACACACAGACACACAAACAGACATAGACACACAGACACACAGACATACACAGACACACACAGACACACAGACATACACACACACACAGACACACAGACACAGACACAGACATACAGACATACACAGACACACAGACATACAGACACAGACGTACACACAGACATAGACACAGACACACAGACATACACAGACATACATACACAGACATACACAGACACAGATATACACACACAGACACACATACACAGACACACACAGAAACACAGACATACACACACACACACACAGACATACACACACAGACACACACACAGACATACACACACAGACACACAGACATACACAGACACAGACACACATACACACACAGACACACACAGACATATACACAGACAACACATACAGACACAGACACACACACAGACATACAGACACATATACACCCACACACACACACAGACACTGGACAAAACACACAGCTTCCCCCCTCCCGCCTGGACACACAAGACATGACACAAGAAGACACAGAGACACAGACACATCCACGCCTGGTGCATACAAGCCACAGACCACAAGACAGCGTCGGACCTGTAACGTCATGTCTGAAGGTGACACACAAACACATAAAACCCAAACCCACTGTCACCATGCATGGACACAACACAACACCCAGACACACAGTCACCATGGATGGTCACAGGACACCCAATATACAAACCCATGAACGCACAACACCCAGACACACAACACAACGAGTGGACACACAGAGGCACGGCCCAGAAACACAACAGGCGAACGAGCAACACAACACCCAGACACACAGTCACCATGGATGGTCACACAACACCCAGACACGCAAGGCCACGACTGGACACACAAAGACACGACGCACAAACACAACAGGTGAACAGCAGCACAGCACCCAGACACCCAGACACCCGGCCACACAGACAGACGCCCCGCGGCACCCAGAGGCTGGGACGCGGGGGACACAGACGCGCCGCACTCACACCCGCACCCCGGACACGCAGCCCACGGGCGCGCCGCACAACGCGCCAAACGCGGTTCCCGCCACGCGAAACCCCGCGGCCCCGGACGCGCGCCCATGCCGGACTCCCGCCCCCCGGGACCCCCGCCCAGCCCAGCCAGGCCCCGCCCTCCCGCGGACTCGGGGCGCGGGGCCCCCACCGTGCCGATCAGCTTCCCGCGCCTGTACACGCGGCCCGAGCCCGGGTCTCGCAGGAAGGCGGCGACCAGGGGCCGGCTCCTCCGCCGCCGCCGCCGCCGCGGCCCCGGCTCCATCGCGCGGGCTCTGGCGCAGCCGGGCCAGGCCCACCGCTCCCGGGCCGCTCCGGGGCGCTCTGGGGGCGCGCGTCGCCGGGGCGCGTCTTATTGGCCACGGGGTGCGGAGGGGGCGGAGCCCGGGCGCGGGGCCGGCCCGCGGGAGGGGCAGGTGCCCGGCGGGTGCGCGGGGGGCGCGTGGGCTGCGGGGACGCTCGGGCTGGGGAAGTTCCAGGGCCCAGAGCGCGCCGGGGCCCGCGCCGAGCGCGTGAGCTCCTCCAACCTGCACCTCCGGGCCTGGCCGGGAGCCGCTGATGCGCTCGCATTACTGAGCGGGAAACTGAGGCTCGGTCGCGGGTGGGAGGTTGGGGGCTTCGGGGGTCCTCTCTCCCAAAGCGCGCTGGAGATACGAGCCTCGTCGTTCTGAACGTGTGCCATTTCGGGGCCTCCCTGCTGGCGGGTCCCTGGGGCCCACGTGAAAACGTGGGGCTTGATCGCCTTGGGCACTGGGGAGCCACAGCAGAATTCGGAGCGGTAGAGAAGCCCAGCGTCTGTGGTGCTGGCGCTGGTGGGGAGGGCGGTGAGGACTGGGGCAGGGACCCAGGAAGTAGGACCGGGGCTTGGGGACCCACGGGTTGGGGTCCGACAGGGGTAGTGGGTGTCTATATGAGGAGCTTCAGCCGGGAGAAGGGATGGGCTGCGTGGAGCGACAGGTGGGCCGTGGGGTTGTGGGGTTTGTGACTCCTGCACCGACAGCCAGGTGGGGACGTCCTTGAAATGGCGACCGAGGCAGCTGGGTGGGAAGACAGCGGGGGCTTGGAACCGCCCCGACCGCCTTGCCCCAGACTCGGGTGCACCCCTTCGTTGGGGAGCTCTCCCCTCACCCTTCCACCCGGCCTGGGAGACAAGAACGGGCCTTGTCCCCATTGAACAGGTGAGTCGCCGAGACTCAGGGACGTGAAGTCGCTCAAGTCAGGAAAGGGCAGCGCTGGGTTTGAATCCCGGCAGCCGCTCCTGGATGCCTCGGTATTAATCCCCAAATGTTACATAACACCCAGAACGGGGAGGGATTAGCAGGGCTCTGCGGGACTGGAATTTTCCAGGGACCGGTTTCGAAATCTGGCCCTGCCACACCACTAGGGACAGGAAACACCTCCTGAGCTGTCACATGTCCACTTGGTGTCGCCTACAGGGCCCGGTGCATTGCACGGGGCAGAGTTCGGGCACCTTTGCAGGGGTTCTCGTCCCAGTGCCAAGGTGGAATCTTCCTCTGTGGCGCAACCTGGCTGCAGCTGGGGAGCCCAAGTCCCCTGCTGATGAGAATCAGGTGAGGCAGCCCAAGGTGGGCAGCTGAGGGCCCTGGTGTCTGAGCAGTCACACGACTGCCACCTGGAATCCTCCGGGGACAGAAAGCCAGTTCCTTCTTATTTATTTGTTTGTTGAGACAGAGTCTTGCTGTGTCGCCCAGGCTGGAGTGCAGTGCTGTGATCTTGGCTCACTGCAACCTCCACCTCCTGGGTTCAAGCGCTCACTTCTCCTGCCTCAGCTTCCCAAACAGCTGGGACTACAGGTATGTGCCATGACACTGGGCTATTTTTTATTTTTTGTATTTTTAATAGAGAAGGGGGTTTCACCAGGTTGGTCAGTCTGGTCTCGAACTCCTGACCTCCAGTGACCCACCTGCCTTGGACTCCCAAAGTGCTGGGATGACAGGCTTGGGCCACTGTGCTTGGCTTCCAGTTCCTTCTGGATAAAACCCGTCCGTCCTGGCGTCAGCTCAGGCCTCTGTTAAGCACCCACCGCACATGGGCCTGGGTCAGGCTGTGCCAGCCCAAGACAGACCCAGTCCTGCCATTGTAAAAGGACCCCAGCTTAAAGGACTGCAAGAATGTCCAAGACTTAACCAAGTCCGGGTCAGGGAGAGCTCTGGAGGTGGAAGGGAGGGATCCAGGCCCGTTCTGGGCAGTAACTTGTCCCTGAGGCTAGCGCTGTTCTTAGCCCCGTGTTACAGACTAGGAACTGAGGCTCCAGGCTCCAAGCGGCCGGTGTGCCAGCGCAGGATCACGGCACACTGCGTGTGGCTGAGCCTGGAATCTAGGTGGGAGCGATCCAGAGCTCCTGGTTCCCCCCACAATAGGTCTGTCCCTCCTCCAGGCTCCCAGCCATCCCAGGGAGCTGTGCCAGGCAGTGCCCTTGTGCTGGGGCAGGCGTCTGAGCTTCCTCGGGGGAAAGAAATCAGAGTTCCTGGCCTGGAGCCTCACAGCCTGCCTGTCAGCTGATGCTCCTTGCACGGAGAACAGCTCAGCCTCCCTCTCCCCTAGCCGCCCGCCGCTTTTCCTGGCTGAGACTCCGCTTTGGAGCTGGGAAAGGCCTCCTGCTCCCAGCCTGTGCCCCTTTGAGCAGGGACCCTGTCCCGCAGCCTATGTGAGGCCCCCTAACCAGCTGGCCATGTCCCCTGCCCTGCCCCAGGCTCCCTACATACCCCAGCCTGGCCCTTGGGGAGTTTCAGGGTGCTAAGGACGAATGCCCTCCAAGACACCCCTTGGCTCTCCCTGGGGGGTGGGGGAGACTGCTGATGGGTACCAGTCTCCTTTTAGGGTGATGAACATGTTTTAGAATTAGATCGAATGATGGTTGCTCAACACTGAGTGTGGTAAATGCCACTGAATTGGGCACTTTTTAAAGGGTAAATTTTCTGTTATGTGAATTTCACCTCAAAGGTTAAAAAAAGAAAAGGGAGAGGGATTGGCTGGGTGAGGTGACTCACACCTGTAGTCCCAGCACTTTGGGAGGCCGAGGCAGGCGAATCACCTGAGGTCAGGAGTTCGAGACCAGCCTGGCCAACATGGCGAAACCCCATCTCTGCTAAAAATGCAAAAACTGGTTGGGCGTGGAGGTGCAAGACTGTGGTCCTAGCTACTAAGGAGGCTGAGGCGAGATAATCACTTGAACCCGGGATGCAGAGATTGCAGTGAGCTGACCGCACTACAACCTTGGTGACAGAGTGAGACTCCCTCTCAAAAACTAGGTAACAAAGAGGACCAGGCACGGTGGCTCACGCCTGTAACCCCAGCACTTCGGAGGCAGGAGGTTTGCTTGAGCCCAGCACTTGGAGAACAGCCTGGAAAACAGAGCAAGACCCTGTCTCTACCAAAAATTTTCTCAAGTAGCTGGGCATGGTGGTGCACGCCTGTAGTCCAAGCTATTCAGGAGGCTGAGGTGGGAGGATTGCTTGAGCATTCGAGTCTAGGGCTGCAGTGAGCCATGATCACACCACTGCACACCAGCCTGGGCAACAGAGTGAGACCCTGTGTCAGAAAAAAATAAAAAACTGCCAGTTGCGGTGGCTCACGCCTGTAATCCCAGCACTTTGGGAGGCCGAGGTGGGTGGATCACCTGAGGTCAGGCGTTTGAGATCAGCCTGGCCAACATGGTGAAACCCCGTCTCTACTGAAAATACAAAAATTAGCCGGGTGTGGTGGGCATGCCTGTAGTCCCAGGTACCCAGGAGACTGAGGCAGGAGAATCGCTCGAACCTGGGAGGTGGAGGTTGCAGTGAGCTGAGATTGCACCACTTCACTCCAGCCTGAGCAATTAGAGCAAAACTCCATCTCAAAAAAAAAAAAAAAAAAAAAAAAAAAGCAGCATTGGGGCCAGCTTAGGAGGTCAGGCAGGACGTTTCTGAGAGGAGGCAGCCCGAGGGGGTGACAGGTTCCCATTTGCAAGTCTGGAAACCAGGCATGCAGGAGTCACTTGACTTCCAAAAGGGAAGTTAGACAATCAGGGAAGGGAAACTGGGACATTCTGCTTCAGGTCTTGGAATCCATACTCAAGAATGAGATGGGCTCGATCGCAAATGAGAGACGCAGATATTCATAGCAACACGATTCACAGCAGCCTAAAGGAGGAGACCGTCCCGACGCCCATCGACAGATAAGACGAGGTGCCCACTGTGGTCCTTCTGTACCACGGAATTGTATGCAGCCTCGGAATGCAGCCTCGGAAAGGGAGGGAACCCTGACCCAGGCCACTCCTTCGGGACCTCACGCCCAGTGACAGAAGCCAGACACGAAAGGAGAAATCTTTTTTTTTTTTTTTTTGAGACGGAGTTTCGCTCTCGTTACCCAGGCTGGAGGGCAATGACGCGATCTCGGCTCACCGCAACCTCCGCCTCCTGGGCTCAGGCAATTCTCCTGCCTCAGCCTTCTGAGTAGCTGGGATTACAGGCACGCGCCACCATGCCCAGCTAATTTTTTATATTTTTAGTAGAGACGGGGTTTCACCATGTTGACCAGGATGGTCTCGATCTCTCGACCTCGTGATCCACCCGCCTCGGCCTCCCAAAGTGCTGGGATTACAGGCTTGAGCCACCGCGCCCGGCCAAATTTTTGTATTTTTAATAGAGACGAGGTTTCACCAAGTTGACCAGGCGGGTCTCAAACTCCTGACCTCAGGTGATCCACTTGCCTTGGCCTCCCAAAATGCTGGGATTATAGGTGTGAGCCGCCGTGCGTGGCCCATCTATTACTATAGTTTAAAAAGGGAAAAATAAGGCCGGAGTGGTGGCTCATGCCTGTAATCCCAGTACTCTGGGAGGCTGAGGTGGGCAGATCACTTGAGGTCAGGGGTTCAAGACCAGCCTGGCCAACAGGGGTAAACTCTATCTCTACCAAAAATATATATATAAAAAAAATAGCTGGGCATGGTAGTGGGTGCCTATAATCCCAGCTTCTCAGGAGGCTGAGGCAGGAGAATCATTTGAACTGGGAGGCAGAGGTTGCAGTGAGCCGAGATTGCGCCACCGCACTCCAGCCTGGGCGGCCGAGGGAGACTTGTTCTAACAGAAAAGGGATGGGGGAGAAAATATATTAGAATCCCCACCTGCTAAAACACAGCCCTATTAATGCCCCAGTTTACAGATGGGGAAACTGAGGCAGGGTTTGTGATGGGCACGGGATGCCATCTTGCAAAGGGGCAGGGCAGGGTTCAATGGGGCTGCCCTTCCATCCTGTCCCCTGCCCTGGGTTCTTGAGGCCTGGGTAGTCTAGAGCGGGAGGCCCCCTGCCCCCAGCACCCCTCACACTCCAAGCCAT